GGGAGGGAAGGAAGGGAGGGAAGGAGGAGAGGAAGGAGGGAAGGAGGGAGGGAAGGAGGAGAGGAAGGAGGGAAGGGGGAAGGGAGGGGGGAGAGGAAGGAGAGGAGAGAGGGAAGGAGGAGAGGAAGGAGGGAAGAGCAGAGGGAGGGAGAAAAGAAGGGAATAAGAAGGGAAGAAGGGAGGGGAGGAAGGAGGGAAGGAGGAGAGGGAGGGAGGGAGGGAGGGAGGAAAGGCAGCCTAGTCTGTTTTCACACCAATCTCCATTCTTCTCACCAGGGCAGTGGTGCCCAGGCAGCTGAGCTTCGCTTGAGGGAAGAGCGGAGGGAGGGAGAAAAGGAGGGAATAAGAAGGGAAGAAGGGAGGGGAGGAAGGAGGGAAGGAGGGAAGAAGGGAGGGAAGGAGGAGAGGAAGGAGAGGAGAGAGGGAAGGAGGGGAGGGAAGGAGGAGAGGAAGGAGGGAAGAGCGGAGGGAGGGAGAAAAGGAGGGAATAAGAAGGGAAGAAGGGAGGGGAGGAAGGGGGAAGGGAAGAGGAAGAGGGAGGGAGGGAGGGAGGAAAGGCAGCCTAGTCTGTTTTCACACCAATCTCCATTCTTCTCACCAGGGCAGTGGTGCCCAGGCAGCTGAGCTTCGCTTGAGAATTGCCTGTCCCTGCGCAGTCCCAACCTCACAGGGGCCCCATCCTCTCCCTCCACAGCTTTTCTGCAGGGACTGTTCATTCATCTCTCAAGTAGGCAATAACTATTACTTTTATCCTGTCTAGCATCTTTCCTCGGAGGGAGCCAGAGTTCTGCAGCACAGGTAAGTGAAGAAAACATGCCCCACAAAGGGAAGCAGCCCAGAGACAGAAGCAGCCCAGACATCTTGGGTTTTTAGATACCTGGACTAAGCCATGCCTGAAGCCAGAAACCCCATCAGGAACCCATCACGTTTAGTTTTTGTTTCTGATGTTTGTTTTTTAATGCTGTCCTTATCCTCAGATGGCTCCAGGTCAAGACAGTAGTTAATTTTCCATAATGGCACTCTGTGTCACCAGAAACCTAGAAAGGGAGGCAAGGAGCTTAACAGTCAGCTGAGGTGAAGCACTCCTTGTGATGAGGAGAGGGGAACTCTGATCCCATTCCTTATCTGGAAGACTGCAGGTGGGTTATGCAGACTTTCCATCTGGGTTTCAAACAGGAGCACAGTTGTCATCTACTGGTTAATGATGTTGACGTTTGGCCTATGGACAGTCATCTGGAAGTATTGTCTCTCTTGGGGGACTTAGCCCAGCCACTCCCAGGGGGGAGGGAGATTTCTGATCACTGTGAACAGAGGCTTGGTTGAGCAGCTTGGATCCAGATGAAGGCTGCTGACTGAGGCCAGGCCTGGTCTTGTCCTGTGCACTTCTCAGATGGGCCTCTGAAATGGAGGGGACATGCTGCCCATCTTAATTCTCTAGACGAAACCCAGGCTCGGAGCTGGCAGACGCCCCCAGGTTTACACAGCTGCTTAGTGGGGCTGGTGTTTATGGATGAAACATGGCATGGTAAACCTTACTGTATTCACTTCTTTTTCTCAGTGTTGCTCAGGCTATCCTTGATCTCCTAGGCTAAAGTGATCCTCCTGCCTCAGCCTCCTAAGTAACTGTGTCTACATGTGTGCACTCATGTTAACCAGCTTTACATGTATAACAGTGTCCAACACATTCCTGTGAACCCTCCCTCCAGCATGCTTTCTCTTTAACTTTCAAATTATTTATTTTATTTTTATGTGTATGTCTGTTTTGCCTACATGTATTTAAGTGCTCCTCAAGCCTGCAGTGCCCATAGAGGTCAGCAGAAGGCATCGGATCCTCTGGAGTTAGGGTGGTTGGTAGCCACCATGTGGGTGTTGGGAACTAAACCCAGGTCCTCTGCAAGAGCAGCCAGTGCTCTTCACCTCTGAGCCATCTCTCCAGCTACTTTTTTTTCTCTTCTTAAAAAATAATATATATTCTTATTTATTCTTTGAGAATTTCATACATGTATACAATGTGTTTTGATGAAATCCACCCCCACCCCTTCCCCTCCAACCCCTGCTAGAACCACCCCACCAACCTCATGGACTCTTTTTAACCCATGGAGTTCACTTAGTGCTGCCAATAAGTGCATGGGTGGAGGGCCATCTACTGGAGCATGGGCAGCCTACCAGGGGCCACATCACAGGGAAAACTGACTCTTCCTCTTCCACCAGCCATCAACTGCCAGTAGCTCCTCAGCTAGGGGTGGGGCTTTATGAGGTCCTACCCACTTCATGCTGGAATTTTGACCTGCTTGATCTTGTGCAGGTCTTGTGCATACAGTCACAGCTACTGCCAGTTCATGAGTGCAATGGCCCTGTCATGAGCAGAAAACACAGTTTCACAGTAGTCCTCTGCCGTATTATCTCTGGTTCTTGCAATCACTCCCCCACCTTCTGCAATGATCCCTGAACCTTGGAAGGATGGACTATGACACAGATGTCTCAGGGCTGAGCACTCACAGTCCTTTATTCTCTGTACTTTGACCAGTTGTGAGTCTTTGTGTTAACCTCCATCCACTGCAAAAAAGAAGCTTCTCTAGTTTGCAATGCACTTAATATCTGGTTTTTACACCTTGATTTCAAGGTGCAAAGAAATTTATCATGAATCTCTAATTTCAATCTCAAACCAGTAGGTGCTTAATATTTTTGATTTGATGATCGCCCATTTGAATATCATGGGTTCTATTGATTACAAATAGAACTTAGGACCCCACTCCATTGTCATGTAGTTGTCCTTGGACTTTTCCAAGGCCTAATATGGGGTTTTATGCAAAATTCTAAACCACCATGTAACTGTTCTTAGCTGTAACAAGGAGAAAGGACTTTTTCCTGCCTTCTTTGTGTTATGCGTTGTTGGGGTCCAGAAATGCCAAACCCTTTTAAAGATGGTACAGAAACAACAAACAAATCCAAAACCATGACAACTTGGGTCCTTGGCTTGATTTCATAGGCTTGAGCTTCCTGGCATATCAATTTTGCCATCTGCATAGGAGAGCGATTGTGTGAAAAACAGTCCATATTTCAAAGTTGCAGATATCACACATGAATAGTGTAACTTTAAGAAATGTTTGCCATAAATCTGAAGTTTAAACCTATGTATTTCAATTTGGTATGCTTAAAAAATAATTAATGTGGAACTGGAGAGATGGTTCAGCGGTTAAGAGCACCAACTGACCTGGGTTCGATTCCCAGCACCCACATGGCACCTGCAAACCGTCCTTAACTCCAGTTCCAGGAGAATCCGAAGCCCTCTTCTGACCTCTGCAGCATTGCATGACACGGGTACACTCACTTACATGCAGGTAATACACTCATACACATAAAATAAAAATAAAATATTTTAAAAAATAATAATATAAAAAATTTTATATGATATTGTAACCTCAGTTCAAAAGTTAGCTGAAAATATAAAACCCAAATGATTTCTATATGTAGTAAATTGAACTGTAAAGGTGAAAAAAAATAAGTTTGATAAGGGGTGAGAGCTGCATTAATCTATGGGTGTGAGGATGATTATTTAGAAGGCAGTTTGATAGTATATCCATTTAGCAAAATAGTAGTAGTAAGTTCTTCCCTAGGGCCTGTGGTCTCCCCTGTCATGGGTCGTTAACAGTAGTTGACCCAGTTGACAGTAGTAAATTGAACTGTAAAGGTGAAAAAAAATAAGTTTGATAAGGGGTGAGAGCTGCATTAATCTATGGGTGTGAGGATGATTATTTAGAAGGCAGTTTGATAGTATATCCATTTAGCAAAATAGTAGTAGTAAGTTCTTCCCTAGGGCCTGTGGTCTCCCCTGTCATGGGTCGTTAACAGTAGTTGACCCAGTTGACAGTACCAGACATGAGTTCCATCTTGTGGGGCAGGACTTAAACCTAATCAGAAAGTGATTGGTTACCCCCATAACATTCATGCCACCTCTGCACCAGTAGGTGTATCTTGCTAGACTGATTGTTGTTCTAGCTTGCAGGGGTCATAGATGGGTAAAACTGTTCATTGCTTTTCTCTCTGACTTCTGGCAACATGAAAGCCAATGGGAAGGAAGCTCCCAGGTCAGTACTAGCTTGGTTTCTCTGTCCTGTGACTCAATAGAGTCTTATCATCAAGTTCTCAGTGGCTGGCCAAGAGCCATGGCAATAACCTGCATTGTTTGGGAGGGTCATCAATGGGACCCCTGACCAACAACTCAAAGGGAGATCCCCACCCCTGGCACTGCTTTGGCATGCTATATGTATCCTGCTGTGTGGAAATTCCATATCCATTGCAGTAACTTCTGTTTCTGGCCTCCTCCATTCTGCTTTCTGTCTATGAATTTGGGAGCCTCAGTCCCATCCAGCCTCTCTGAACCTCTGCTTTTGGAGCAGTTAACAGTGTTCCCAGTTCATTCACAAGACAGTATCCGTCAAGTGCTGGTTCCGAGGGGTAGTAAATGCCAACCATGTGTATTTTATTGATAACCATGTTCCTGGAGCCAGACTCAATGGGAACTTGGTATTAGAAGACCTGGGTTTGATGCTGTGACTGCCGTTATTGTCCCTCCCCCTCTCCATTTACACGGAGCCACATAGCTGCTGTTCAGCCTTTATTGACAGAAGACAATTAGTTACTCAACACTACACCTACAGAGTCTTGGCACTGGACATAGGGTCTTTACAGACACTTAAACAGCTTGACTATTGAGGGTCCCAGCAGCTGAGCAGGGCTGGCCAGACAGGAAAGCGGCACAGTTTAAAGACAGGGATGTACACAGAGTTCTAGAAGTGGAAAGGCCTGAAAGACAGCCCTTGAGGACAAGACTACACCAGCCTTCCGGGGAGCTGGTTCTTCTAAATGTCAGGTCTCATTGGGTGGGAACTCCCAGACACAGGGTCATACTCCAGGTGGTAGAGAGAGTAAGGCCCCCTTACTTCACCTGTCTATAAGACCAACAAGTGATCAACCCAAGTCTAGACACAGGGAAAAGAAAGGTCAAGCAGGTACCAATAATATTCCACGAAGCACTGTCAGCTTGCTCAGGGATCATGGTTTGCATCTTCCCATCAGGAGTGTCTCAAAGTCAGTAAAGAAAGGTCTGCCTAATCCTCCTGTTCTCAGCCCCACAGACCTTAGAGAGGTCCCTCAAACCCAATACCATGGTGCCTCTCCTTTTAGGTGCCCCCTGGAGAAGAGCTGAGCCATGATTAAACATTAGAAAAAGATACAGTCTAACAGGAACACAACTTGGGATGCTTCCCAGTAGCAAAGTGCTTGCTTGTTCTAAGCAGAAGCGCAGGGTTGTGAGGTGCTACCTGAGCTGGCCAGAGATGGTACTTGGGGTCACTCAGGAGTTTATATTGCTGAGTAGTGGGAAGAGAGCCAAGAGTCTCATTCCAGGAACCTTGGCTGGGGTCATAATAAATATAAATTGGCATATGGTCCTGGTGCTCAGCGTGGCCCTTGAGGCTCCAGGAGCAATGGGCAGGGCACGTGGGCAGGAATCCAAGACAGAGGCCAGCCATATTACCACTAAGGCAGGCCAAGGTGGACCAGCTCCTCTCCAGTCTTGGCTGTGCTCTGAGGCGCAGACAGAGGTTCCTCTCCTAGGAGAAAGAGTTCAGAGCTTCCTTCCTGTGTGTCTATGACACACCACTGTGTCCCAAGGTGGGCCTCTAACTATCAAGGTCAGGAGCTGGGATGCAGAAAGCTGGGCCTCAACATAGCCAGGCCTCTGTCTCAGGTTCGATAGGAGAATGGGAGGTGGGGTACTTGCCATCTCCTGTAAGGATGCCCCAGAAGGAAAAGGGAGTAGCTGAAAGGGGTCACTTCCTTATCTAGCCAGCTGCCTGGCCACAAGCTGGGGAGACAATGTGGGAGTGAGGGGCCTTTTTCCAGGCCAGCTCAAAGCAGGGCTATGGGCTTGTTCCCTGGGGCACTCAGGTACTGAGTAGAGGTCGTCACTGATGGGGCCACACTGTCTGGGGTAGAATATGTGGCATAGAGACCTGTCACCTGTACATCTGGGAAGGACTGGTCACTGCCACCAGAGACAGGTGTCAGGCCTGGGGCCCCCAAGTCACAGCCAAGTGAGGAGTCTCCAAACGCCCCCAGTGTGTCCAAATTAAAGCTGTCTTCCTTCATCTCGTCCCAGAGGTTGCCTTGTAAAGACAAAAGCATTTGGGTGAGCTGGCTTTGGGTCGAAGGGCCCTGAGTGTGAATCCCCATCTCAGGAAAGAGGCACAGACTATGCATGGTGTTCCAGGCCACGTGTTGTCAAAAAGAGGGTGGGGGAGGCAGAGTTCCAACCCTGCCTCTTGATGCTATGTGTCCTTGGGAAGGCCACCTGGCTCTCTGATGAGATGAACAGAAGGCTCCCTCTGGGGCCGAGACAAGGGTTAAATGAGTGGAAAGTGTTTGCTTCTCATCAAGGTCAAAGCCAGGCAGCAGTGTTTTGCCTTTCCTGTTGACTACCCCTGGTCCAGGGACAGAAGAACAAGGAGACTTGTACATGCCTTCCACAGCTATGACAAACTTACAGGCTGACTAACCTACCATCTTGTCCATTCTGTAGATAGGGAAAGGACACACAAACTGCCACATGGCAGGTGCATGCATGTTTGGGGGTGGAGGGGTTGGAAATTTTTGCTGAAGAATGAAATCCCCTGGTCAGTTCTTGAGTTCATCCACCCACCCTCAACTTACTGAGGGGGACCATGTGGCCAGGTAGTGCTTCTTAGTCTGGCCTGCCCAAGTTCGGCATGTGCTGAGTTTGAAGCAGTGACTGAAAAAATGTCTGGGGTCAGACAGATCTGGGCTTAAATCCTGGCTCTGCACTGACTAGCCAGGGGACCTGGGCCAGGGATTTGATTTCTCTTTGCTTCAGTGTCATCAGCAGCAGAACGTGGCTGTGAGATGGCAAGGCTTCAGGGCTGTGGTGGGGTAAGACCAGATGATACTGGAGAAGTGCTTGGTATATAGCAGGTGCTCATTAAGTGTGTACTAGGTGTGGTGGTTGCCATGGTGATAAGGCGGATGTAGGCAGTATGGTCCCTCCCCTGTGCTTCCCTGCCTCTTCCCCACACCATGTTCCTCCCAGTCCCATCTCCTCCTGTGCCTCACCCTGCAGAGCGAAGTCCATGATGCTGGGGTCCAGGGCATCCACCTCGGTGCTCATGTCGGTGCTGATGTTGAGGAAGTCCCCAGCAGCCCTACCCATGGCTGGCTGGGGGAGGGGCCCAGGGCTCAGGTCAGGTAGGGCATGAAGGGGTGGGGTCTGAGCTGGTGCTGGGGAATCTGGGGCCAGATGTGCCTGGGGCTGGATCTGGTGGTGCAGAGGGACCGACTGCAGGGACAGGGTCATCAAAGGCTGTGGTGGGAGCTGGGAGATAGCCAGACAGCTGTGGGCCATGGCCACCGTGGTGGTGTGAGTTAGCACAGGGGCCTCAGACTCTCCTGGTTTGCCAGGACGCCTGCAGCTTTCTGGTCGGTCTGAGATCAGCTTGTCCAACTCCTCTGCAGACAAGTGGGAGAGGTCACTAGGGAGTCCCTGCTGTCCCCAGGCTCCATCCTGGGCCCAGGTCCAAGTCCCAGGGCCACCACTTGTGTGAACTTAGCAAGCCTCTTAGCCTCTGATCTTCTGTCTGTCCTCTATGAGATCGCATCACACATTCTGCAGGGTTGCTATGGAGGTGCAATACCAACCCCAACCACGGCAGAGCCTTCAAGGAGTGGGAGGTGCCATGAAATGCTAACAGCACCTCCCCTCCAGACAGCACCTAACCACATAGGCCTGTGACCCCAGGGCTTCATTTGAACTCACATCAGCCCCTTGAGAGGAAGCTGAGGCAGCGACTACAGGTCCCATGAGATGGGCCAGACCATTAATGAGCAAGAAGGCCTTGCCGCTCCTTGTCTTAAAGGCAACACTGACGAGTGTTACTGTGGGTTGAGAACCGAATCCTCTCTGGTACTCTTGGATACAAACAGGTAAAGAGCAGAAATCACTTTTTAAAAATATCATTTGCGTGGGGGTACATGTGTGTACATTGTGCATGTGTTTGGGATGTGGGCATATATCTGAGTGTAAGTGTATGTGTGTGTATATGATATATGTGTGATGTGTGCATATGTGTGTGCATGTGTGATGTGTGTATGCATGTGATATGTGTGTGGTTTGTGTGTATGTTTTTGTGAAGTTGTGTGTGCAGTGTAGGGGCATACATGTGCCACAGGGCACATGTTAAGGTCAGAGGATACCCCACCGTGCCAGCCACTGCCTTTACATGAGACAAGGTCTCTTGTTTGTCCACAAGCTTCCAGGGATTCCCCCCTCGCCCCCATCTGCTATAGGAGCACTGTGACTATGCTGCATCTGAATTTACCTGGGTTCTTGGGATCCCAACTCAGATCCTCACACTCTGGAGGCAAGTGCTTTACCCACTCAGCCATTTCCCCAGCCCTGTCTCCTTGGATGTAACACAGTGCTGACACTGGGCCATGAGGGGCCCAAGATCTAGCCAGAGGACCTTCTTCAACCTCACACTAAGAAGAGATCAAACCTGCCACCCCTCTTTTATTATTTTAAACACCCCTGCCAGAACTGGAGAAATGGCTCAACAGTTAAGAGCACTGTCTCCTCTTGCAGAGAGCCTGGGTTCGGTTCCCAGCACCCACATGGCAGCTAACAAGAGTCAGTAACTCCAGTTCCATGCCCTCTTCTGGTCTCTGTGGGCTTTACATGCCTGGACATGGTATACTTTCATTCATGCAGGCAAAGCACTCATACACATAAAAGTAAATAAAATAAAAACATCCTCAACCAACACCAGCTCATACTTGTGGACTTTAGCATTTCTGGGTGAGAAACTGTTGGTGACAGATTCAGAGATTTCACTTCTCTAACCCCCATCCCCACCCCGCCACCTACCGTTGGCCAGCCTCTAGACTGGGGCAGGGGAGACATGGGTGTCCATGGGGCAGCTGAGGGTGTTGTGGGCTGGGTGGAGGTGGCGGGTGTGTGTGCAGTGGTTTGGGGCTCACTCTGGAGTGGTGGGTGTGTGTGCAGGGGGTTGGGGGCCACTCTGGAGGGGTGGGGGGGGGTGCCGGGGTTTGGGGGTCACCCCGGGTGGCCATGCCGCGGGGGGGGGGGGGCAGGGGTTTGGGGCTCACTCGGGGGGGGGGGGGGGGGGGGGAGTGGTTTGGGGGTCACCCTGGAGGGGTGGGGGGGGGTGCCGGGGTTTGGGGGTCACCCCGGGTGGCCATGCCGCGGGGGGGGGGGGGCAGGGGTTTGGGGCTCACTCGGGGGGGGGGGGGGGGGGGGGAGTGGTTTGGGGGTCACCCTGGGGGGGGGGGGGGGTGTGCAGTGGGTTGGGGCTCACTCTGGAGTGGTGGGTGTGTGTGCAGTGGTTTGGGGCTCACTCTGGAGTGGTGGGTGGGTGTGCAGTGGTTTGGGGCTCACCCGGGTTGGCCATGCTGCGGTGGATGGCGGCAAGGTCTTTCCTCTTCCGCTTATGCATCTCCTCCTCCATCTTGTCAATTCGCGCCAGGTTCAGGGCCCAGAGGCAGCCCTTGCGTGAGGAGCCACTGGACTTGTTCTCCACCTTTTCAAAGCACTTGTTCAGTGACAGGTTGTGCCTCACTGAGTTCTTCCAACCGTCTGGTGCCGTCTGTGGGGAGACGTGGGGCAGTTAGAAGATCCTTCAGGTGAAATCCCTTACTGGCATGAGTGTGTTCCGACTCAGGCCTGTGAAGGCAGGACACAGTGCAGCCTGTGTCCAGTACAAGCTGGGGAAATGAGAGGAAAGGGTAGGGACAGCAGCACCCAGGAGACCCTATCCTGGTGGAAGGGACCTGTAGTTGGACCACAGCCCAGAGCTGCAGATCATCTTTTCCTTCTCTCCTACTGGACAGCTCTTCTGGAAACTAATGTCAACAGCTGCATAGCTGCTCAACGCATCCAATACAAATCACTTTCAAAAGCTCAACCAGATGTTGGTACTCAGCTCTACCCAACCCCTGTGTTGTCATATTTCTAAAGATACCATCCGGGCCTAAGACTTTGCAACCTGGGACTCCCAGCTTTCAGCATGACTATGGCTGACCACATGCTGGTAACTGGCAGGACCATCCCATAAAAGTCTTCACTAACTTGCCAGTGAATCCTGTTACCAAGGGTATGTCTGGCATCACACCATTTTGCCAAATAACTAGGCTGGTCCCCTGTACTTTTGTACCCTGAGATGTATGGGGAACTCTTCTTCATCCATCAGAGCCCAGTTCAAATGCCCCATTCTCTTTGTAAATTGCATCTGTATGAGTGAACCAACATATATCCGCCCTTCCAGGTATGTGGGCATAACTGCAGGACCTGGGAGGGTGACCCAGTTTAGAGTAGGCATATCCCTAGACTCTGGCACTCCTCAGGAAGGATGGGGTAACTCTAGTTCCCCAACACTGGGTTGGAAGCCCTCACCTTGAAATAGGGGAAGTGTTCTTTCATGAAGCTGTAGATCTCGCTCACTGGCAGGCTGCCTGTCTTGCTGTTCTTCAAGGCCATAGCGATCAGACAGCTGGGGCAAGAGACAGGGGTAGTGAACAAGCCGAAGGTCCCCTCTGCCAGGAATCTGCCCTGCTTGGCCCTACTTGGTGTTAACCCCTCCACACCACACGGGCCTATGTTTTTCCCACTTTGCCTTTGCCCTGGCTGCTGGCTCAACCACTGTTGTGCATTGAGAAATCGCTTTTCCTCTCTTGACCCCACCCCCATAATAATATCCATGGGTTTTTAGACTTTACCTAAGCTGCTTCCTCCTCCCCAAATGCCTGAGATACACAGTCCAATTACTGTGACCAACTTTTTATAGACTCAGAGAGGCCAAGCCCTCTGAGTGAGTGATGGAGAACCAGTGTCTGAAGTTGATTCGGACTCGCCGTGGTGGGGGGGGGTCAGCTGACCCCATGTTGATCCCTTCTGAGACTAGGGCCTGCATGAGGTTTCCTTGGGAGTTGGGCCACCTCTCCTAGCTGTCTAAGATGCCCCAAAGGCAGCCCTTGCTCCCTCTTTCTGGGTGGCCAGACCTCACCTGTAGGAGTAGATGGGCTTGGGGTAATGTTTGGGGTGCAGCTCCTGAGATGAATGTACCGCCACATGGGCCTGTGGGTAGGGAGGCCGTGCTGCAAATGGAGAGCCATAGAAGTTCACAGGAGGGCACTTTGCAGGCAGGGATGTGGCCGGGTAGCAGAGAGAGAAGACGGTGAGATAGAGGAGAAAGTCAGTCACAACCCCAGCCCAGCTTCTAATAGAGAGATCTAGAACACAGACGTTCTCTTATCCCCAGCGAGGCATGAATGGACCAGTCAGCATGGGCATGGTGGGGAATAAACTGAGGCTCAGAAAGGCCCCTGGCTGGTTCTAGGGCAGGGGCTTCTACCTTTGAGCCCGTGGTACCTGCTGGGCCCCCTGGGGCAGTGGGAACTGGAGTTGGGTGGCAGGCGAGTACAGCTGTGGTACCTCCTGTAGGCTGGATGACGACTGGCCCCCCAAGGGGAGCTGGCTCATCTGCTGGGCCAGGAGAAGACAAGACAGGTCAGGGTGGGACAGGCACCCTCCACCCTCCCAGCCATGCAGTGGCACTTACGCTGGCTCTATGGCTGGCTATGGGGCCCAGGCCCAGCATGCCTCTGGGGACCATGGCAGCCGGGCCACGGAGCAGGGGACCTGGGGTGGCACCCACATGCAGGTCAGCCGCCCCAGTCAAGGCACCTATAGGAAAAAGGCACAGAGAAACTGCTTTGCTGGAAATGGTGGCCACAGTTAGGGGTGGACAGGGCCACCCTCCACTCTCTGGACCAGGCATTCAGAAAGTGCTTACAAATCATTTTTCTTGAGTGTGATGGTCAACAGTGGGGTTCCTACCAGCAGTGCAACCTGGAAAGCCTCAGTTTATCCATTTCTACTTACCTATTACTTATGAAGTTGTGGTGGTTAAATGAGATTTTGTCTATCAAGTGCTTAGCACATGATTGGGCATGTGAAAAAATCCCAACTAATATGAGTCAATAATGATGGTGGTGATGGTGATGGTGATAATGGTGGTGGTGGCCACCTGTGTTCCTATCCTTCATGAGCTAAAACATCAATTTACTGTTCACCTTTTCTCCTCAAAAGCCTCCATGACTCCTCTGGGCCTCTAGGTTTAGGTACAAGTGTCTTTTTATCTTCTCTCCCCCTGCCAAGCTCTGTTCCTCTGCCAAAGATTAGCCCCCAAATAGCAGAGGTACATTTGTCTCTTATGCTGGGCCTGTGATAGACATTACTAATCCATCCCAGATACTCACTGCATAAGCCTGATCTTAAGTAGCCACTTCTAATCAAATAAAGTTGACCTGCCAGATGCTGCTAGGCCTGCCTTGTTTTTACCATGTCTGGAACACTGATTGCTCAAGATGTTTCCTAATAGGGTCACTGGTAACATTCCACAAGAGCAATTCTGTTACAGTTCCCTGCAGACAAGGAAACTGATCAGAGGGGCAGGCACAGCCTAAGGTCACATAGCTGTCTCACAGTGTTCTAGATTAGGGTTAAGAAACTCACACCACAGGCCAATCCTGGCCCCTAACCTGATTGGTAAATAAAGTTTTATTGGTTCACAGCCACACCTATTTATTTACGTACAATCTGTAGCTGGTTTTGCATTGTATCAGCAGGACTGAATAGTTTGAACTTAGACTATATGAATTACAAAGTCAAAAATACATGTTTCCAGCAAGGCAAGGGGTGCACACCTGTAATCCCAGCATTCAGGATGCTGAGGCAGGAGGATCTTGAATTCAAGTCCAGCCTGGGTTATACAGGGAGACCCTGTCTCAAAAATAAATAAATAAACAAATAAATAAATAAACAAACAAAAAATAACATCCCAGTCCTGTACAGAAGTTTGCTGCCCTTTGCTCTATGCATTTAACTCAAGAATAATTTGTCCATGAGCGACATCCTGCCAGCACTGGTTTTCCTATTGTCCTTTCCTGTGCTGTGGTGATCATTTCCGTTGTTCTTTCCTATCAGCCCTGGTCTTCAAGCCTCCAGCCAGCTCCCTGTCATTTACAGAACACCTGCTGGGTGCCAAGATTTTCTTAGAATCTTCTAGAACAGGGGGTAGCACACCTCTTTTCTAAAGAGCTGGGTAGCGAATACTTTAGGTTTTGCCAACCCATCTGATGACTGTGTTCTTTATTTTCTCATAATTCTTGAAAATGTAAAAACAAAACAAACATTCTTAGCACTTGGAACAATGGGACACAGACTGCATTTGGTCTGCTGTCAGAGGTTGCTGATGACTGGAGAGGTTCAAGATCTCCCAGGGGTAGCAGTTGTGTTTTTGCTCTCCAATGGAGCACTAACTCACCCAAGGCCTGGTATGGTGTTAGATAGGTGAGCCTTGTCCTCTGAGGAAGTTAGGTGGGAGTCCTTCCATTTTACAGATGTAGACACAGAGACCCAGAGAGATAGAGGGAGTGCTCTCAGGCCACTCAGCAGACCGGTGGCAGGGCCAGGAGTCACCCTACCCTACCTTAAGCCTACCTGGGTGTGGATGTGGCACACTGGGGCTGCCCAGTTCCATCCGGCTGCTTGCCATCTGCTGCAGCCGAGGCACATCCACAGCTGTGAGCCACGACAGTGACTGTAGGTCCCCAGGGAGGTCATCATCTCCGGTAGGAGGCAGGAATCTGTGGAGAAGAGCGGGGAGCTTAGGCAGGAAGGGGAGCTCAGCCAGTTTAGGGTTTCTCCCACCTCTCCAAACCACACCAGCCCAGCAGCCTGCCCCTCCCCCTGGCATCACAGGAACCCCCTTTCGCAGCCAGATGGCACATGCTCAGATCATTCCTTCAGTTGCCCACTGTGCTGGATAGCTTTAGTGTCAACTTGACACACCTGGGTTGAGGGAGCCTCAATTGGAGAATTGCCTCTATTGGACTGGCCTGTGGCCATGTCCGAGGGGCATCTTCTTGATGAGTGATGTGGGAGGGTGCCACCCCTGGGCAGGTGGGCCTGTGTTGGATAAGAGGGTAGGCTGAGCAGGAGCTAGGGGAGCAAGCCAGTAAGCAGCATTCCTCCATGGCCTGTGCTCCAGCTCCTGCCTCCAGGTTCCTGCCCTGAGTTCCTACCTTGGGATCCCGGATGAACTGTGACCTGGGATATGTAAGCTAAATAAACCCTTTCCTCCCCGAGTTGGTAGTGGTCAGAGTATTTTGTCACAGCAATGAAGAAGCAAACCAGAACATCCACTGAGAGCATCTTCTTCAGCACCTACTCCAAATAGGGACTAACGTTTGCTGAACATTTACTTTGTACCAGACCAGCCTCCTATGCTGGGCTGTGACAGACATTACTAATCCATCCCAGAGTCTCACTGAACCAGCCCGATCTTTGTCATACACCTGTAACTGAGTGAGATGGACTTGCAAGATGCTACTAGAGCCTGTCTTATTTTATTTTACCATTATCAACACTGGCCTTTCAAGGTCCCTTATGCTGTAAACCCATTGAATACTTCATCACCCTATCAGGTTGGGTGATTGTTATTCCTGATTGGGTATTCCTAATCCAAAAGTCCAAAATCTAGCTGGGCATGGTGGTACGTGCCTGTAATCCATCCTAGGACTTAGCAGGCTGAGGCAGGAGAATCTCAAGTTCAAGGTCAATCTAGGCTACATAGTGAGACCCTGTTCCAAAAAAACCCAAAAGCTCAACATCTAAAACATATCAAGTGTCTTTGTGATGCCACAGTGGAAAATAATACTTTTTGATTCCTTTGAGGAGCCCGAGTCAAATGCAGGTGCATTAAAAACAACGCACAAAATTATTTCAGGCTGTATGTATGTGACATACATAAACCATGAGTGAATTAGACTCCAGCCCCTCCCCAAGATGATTCACTATGTATATACAAATATTCCCAAATCCCAAAATTGAACTTTGAAAGAGTTCTGTTCCCAAACTTTTTGGATAAATGTACTTTCAATGTGTCCCCATTTGTACATGGGAAACTAAGGCTCAGCACACTGAGTCATTTGCTGAAGACCATATAGAGCAGGAAGTCGAGAGCAGGTGGCACAGTCTGCAGCCAGAATTCCTTCCCACCACCCAGGCAGCCCCAGGGCAGGCCCTGCATACCAGTACTTAACAGGGACATGCGTTGAGTACACACACAGCTTTCTCTGCAAGGAGGAAGTCTGCCTGTCCTGGATGCTGGGCAGGGACTCTTAACTGTAGAGATAATGGTGATGGCTGGCATCTCTGAGGTCCCATGTCCCACATGACTGTCAACTTTGTGAAGGAATCTTGTGTATGCTGTAATAAGGATGCATGTGGCCCAGAAGCCCACCAGACCCCAGCACCATATCACCCCTGCACCAGGGACTGTCTGCTCTGTTACCAAGAGTGCACAGCCTAAATCCCACACTCTGAGTTCAAACACAAGGGAGACAGGGCCTCTCAGAGAAACTGGAACAAGGGTACTCATGCCCTGGAACCACAGCCTCTGGGTTCCTCCTGATGCTGAGAGCATCCTTTCATGGCCCACCTATCCAAGCTCTCATTCTTCCTCTCCTACCATCTCTGCTCTTTGTTTTAGAGCCACAATTAGTGTTGCCATAACCACCGCTGCTCAGTTGTCACAGGCCTGGGCCTTCAGCCTATGGAGCTGGTATCAGGTGGCTGCTGGCTGCCCCCACCATTGGTTGCCTCATAGGAAAACAGGGCCTGGAGATAATTTGAAAACTGGCTGGCCCATGTCAGTGGCAACAGTTGGCCAGGCTGCTGTCCCCCAGTGGTCCATTGTATGACAAACGACTGCTGCTCCTGTGGCACGTGGCCCCCATTGTTCTAAGTCTCAGAGCTATTGTTTCTGTTGGCCCCTGGCTGCCGCCCTTTTGGCCTGCTCATAACTCATCTATATGAGTGACAGCCTCGGCCCTGGCCTGGACCATGCCATCTGTCCCCTAGGGCCTCAGAGACCATGGGGTGAAAGGGAGGGGAGGGCCTATTGCAGCACCTGCTGTAGAAGGTGCCTGGCTGACCCCACTCTCCCTTCTTAACCCACAGTGAGCCAACCCGCAAGGGGATGTCAGGATGTCTTCTGCTCAGGAACCTACTATAGCTCCCCATTGCCCTTGCTGTTCTGCTTGGCACTAGGGAGATGTGGAGGTACAACCCTGCCATTATATTTCACAAGATGGGGAGCTTGCAAAGCTCCAGGGCACCAACATGGAACAGAATCTTCCAGGGGTGCATCCAGGAGGCAGTACATGCAGGGGTGGATGTCCAGGCTCTGTGTTCTAATCCTGGTTTCCCTTAAACACTGGCTTAACCTCTCTGAGCCTCAGCTTTTCACCTGTAAAATGTGGATAATTGTTCCTGTCACAGGCTGTTATGAGCTTTCAGAGTGTAGCACGTGAAGCACTTTGAACAGTATCTGGGTCACAGGGCATGCAATATGACCATGTGTTTAGCAGCCATTGATATTAATACCATACTAATAGTATTAATATACTATTAATAATAATAATAAGGCTAGCCAGGTCCCCAGGGGCAGGTGAACACCCTGAAGCTTCAATGTTGGGGTCACTCAGACCTAGCACTGCCACTAATCACTTCCACTTACTGAGACTTCCTAAAAATCAGGCCCTGGTTATATGCTGTTCCCACTTTACATATAGAGAAGCTGAGAACCTGAGTTGTCCCTGGGGGGCACAGCCTGTTTCCCATGGAGTGATGATTTCTTGGGGTTACTGCTCATGGGCTTCACAGGAAGCTGAGCAGGTGGCAGGGTGGAATCCTTGCTGCCCTCCTGGTGACTTCTAACTTTCCCTGAATCCTTTCATCCTTCCTTTTCCTATAGGGAGCAGCAGCCTCCTGCAGTGCCTCTGGCCTCCGTTCACCTAAGTGCCCATCTGCCAGGCACACACAGCACAGCCTCACCTCTGTTCCCTGCCTGCCCAGTCCTTCCTGCTCCCTCCCTTCTGAGGCCATATTCATTACCCCCTGGCCACTTCACCTTGAATGTCCCCCTAGAGGTCACCTGACCATGCCCTCAAATGGCCCCGGGAAACCAGTGTCACAGGGAGTCAGGTACACTGTGTGCCCAGTCTCAGTCAGGACATGGCAGGGTCACTGTGGGTCCTGGCTTCCCCTCTGCCTCTTCCACAGCCTAGTTCAGGGACCCTCTGCCCTGAGTGCTCTCCACCCTTCCCCTGCAGTCCGCTGCCCCACCCTCACCCTTTCTGGGGCTCACTGAGGACCCAGGCCCTACATGCAGTGGATACAACCTTTAATTTCCCACCTAACTGGTTGAAACAGGCTGAACCCAGGACACTAACCCCAAGAAGGATGTGAGAGCAACTGTCAGGTCTGGCACCACTAGACTTGGCCTGCCAGAGCCCCAGGAGGTGTACAGAGCAGAGAGCCTTTCTTGACAGGTCAGGAAACCAAGGCTGGAGCCATGAGTCCCCTTGCATGCAAGCAGGGTGTGAGGACTGGAACCCAGGTCTTTCTGCCTCACTTTTGGTCATCCCTGTGGCAAAGACTCAAGTGTCTTCTGGGGAAGACCTCCCTATCCGAATCTGGGACCCTCAGCTGGGGTGTGCAACCAGCAAATCCTCAGGAGGTGCTTACAGTGCGGAGGGGGTCCACCGTGGCTACTGGATGCCACCGGTGGGGACAGCACAGAGCTGGCTGGCCAGGGCTCATACAAAGCACAGGCTTTGCTGGGACAGGTCTGGGTTCATGTCCTTGGGACCTTGGGTGTATGGCCTCAGGCAAGTTCATTCCCAAGCCCCTGTCCCCTGGGCTGCTGTGAGCACCAGATGAGCCAGTGTGTGGTCAGCTTTTGACCCAGGCTGGCCCCATTCTCCCTTCCTTGGGAGCTTGCTGCTCATTTTAGGGATCCACAGCCCCACTGCTGCCTCAGGCATCCCCAGAGGTCCTCTGTTCTTCCCTACCCTCCTTCCTCAAGCCAGAATGCCTCAGTATACCAGCCCTGCTTTGCCCAGCCAGCTCTGCCAGGCTCCCTCCATGGAGCACTGTGGAGTGAGTCTACTAGCTCTGACGCCTGGCTTTCTTCCTCTGCCTTTTCAGGTCTCCCTTCACCACGCATCTCAGGACCTAAAGGGAAGTGAGTTGTCCTCACTGCCCAGTCCTCGCTGTCTAGTACAGATACGTATCAGCTAGCGTTCCCTTCTTCACAGCTGCATGCCCCCCCACCTTTCCTCACCAATACCTGCAGCTCCCCATTCAGATGGCACCACATCCAGCCTCACTTCTTCCTACTGCTTCATAGAAGGTGACCTACAAGCCTAGGGCATCATTAAAGGAGACGCCTTGCTTTAAGAATCATTCTGGCTTCCTGTTTCTGGTCCCACAGAGGAAAACTTAATCCCCAGCCTTGATTTCCCACTTGTAAAATGGGCGGGAGCAAGAATAGTAAAGACAGACCCGCAGGTGCGGCTTGAAGAGGTCATAGTGAAGTGGCTTGGTGATCAGTCTTGCCATCATAAGAGGGTGTGTTACAGGTGGGGTGAGAGACAGAGACAGACACAGAGAGACCCTATAGCAGTCTTCAGAGTTGCTTTTCCTTTGCTAGACAGAGATATGATACTTGCAAACCAAGAAGAATAGCAAAAGCCAGCCTGGGCCTGGGACCTCCCAAATCTGTTCCTCTTACTCTTAT